ATGTCTCTTACTTCCGAAACTATGCTTTCGGTGTGTGATAATGCTCCGATACGGATTCTGGGGTGTCTCACTCTTGTAGAAACACATTCCCTAAGATCCTCAGTGCAGTGGAAATTTCTGGGCTTGGGGATTTGGAGAAAAAAGGGGGCTCAAACTCTGTCTTGGCCACTTACTGGGGCATGCTGTTAGAAAAGTTACTTCATTTCTCCAAGTCTATTGCATAGGACAGAGATGATTTTAAAGCACACTGCCTGAGACAGACCAGGCACATCATAAATACTAATTACCAGCTTCCTCTCCTCCAGTAACCCCCTTGGGGGGCACAGTGATAGAAACGCCGTTGTTTGAAAGACTCTAAAGTGAATACCAGTAAGGCTGAGAACTGAACTTGCCTCTGAGAGCTGCCAGCAAGGTTTATTGTTTTGTTGGGTTGTGTGTTTGTGTCTTCACTCTCATGAGAAATGGTTTGCAGAGGGAGATAATGAGGTTAAGCAAAGGCAGTGCCCAATGAACTCAACTCAAGACACAAAGCAACTCAAGAATTCTGCCATGTCCCTGTTTATTATTGGTGTTTCTAAGAAGCGAGAGAGTCAGAACTTGGTTTGTTTTTCTGTTTTCTGTAACCAGACAGTTGAAAACATCTTAATGATAACTGTAAAAAAGATTAATTTAAGGACAAGGAAAAAAATGTGGTTTGAGGCACGATGCATTTAATAATTCGGGGTAGGGATTAGCATTTATGGGCCCTTTGGCGACAGGCTGGACATTTTAGTTCCAGCAAGGAATTAGAATTTTTGAGACTAGGATGTTCATGGAAAAGCCTTGACATTGTGCACCTGGCCAGTCTACAGGTGAGGGCACTCACAGGAGAAAGCAGGGCAGGGCCTGTCACTACGTGTAGTTGGCGGAACCAGGAAGCCCAGGAGACAAGGAATATGGGCCCCGATCAAAGGCTCCTGGCCCAGCGCTGACCTCAGTATTGTAGGGAGTCCAGAGATCGGCTACGGGAGTTCAAAGAAAGAACAGAACACCGCAGTGAATGAGCTGCAGTGGATCGTTTAAGAAGTTAAATAAAAGAGATAATGATACCACAGCATTGTCCAACTCTCTAATTATTTCCGTATTTTTATGTAGAGTGTAACTTTAGATAAACCACCTTCCATCTTCTAGGTCCCAGATTCCTCATTTTTAGGAAGAAGAGGTTGGGTTAGATCACTGTCTTAGGTTGCTGTAACAGATGGCAGACACAGCAAACATTTATCTCTCACAATTTTGGAAGCTGGAAGTTTAATAGCAGGGCGCCAACATGGGTTCTGGTGACGACCCCCTTCCTGGCTTGGAGAAGGCTACCCCCCTGTGTATCCTTACATGGTGGAAGGAGAGAGCGCCGGTCCCTTCATTCCCCATAAGGGGACCAATCCCATTCTGTGAACTCTACTCTCAAGACCTCATCTAAACCTAATTACCTCCCCAAGGGCCCACTTCTGCCATCTGTCAGTCCATAGTAATCACCCCTAAGTTTCCTTCCTTCTGATTTTATGTATGAAGGTTCCGCACTGGCCACCAAGTCAAAAATCAAACCATCTGTCAGCTTTCAAAACCTTCCAAAACTGGATGTCATCCAAGTCACCAGATTTGCTTGTCACCATCCCCCAGGATGAACCCTCCCCTCACCTGAGACAAGTCCCTGGCCTGTCCTCCCTACAAGCCGTGTTAGTCCATTGCTTCCACTTTTTTCCTCGTGCTTGTTCTCCTGCCTTGGAGGGTGCTGACCTCTCTCTCTCCCTGTTGACTCAAAAACTAGCCACCTTGTGGGAGCCATTCCTTCAGTCCCGGACCATCTCCTGGGTAGTGCAGAGGAGGGTTCAGGATTTGCACTGAACAGGATTTTGAAAGAGAAGTTGTTATTTCATATTGTTCTGGTTTCTTTAAATGCCAGTTCTAAAAGCTTGAAATTAAATATAATATGTACAAATCTTGTCCCAGAGCTACTGTTATTAATCTATAAAATCAAAGATTAACATCAGAGAAAAAGACAAAAGATATGGAGTGCAGCTGAATATTTATTAGGATCATACTTTATATCTTCAAAATACCAAGGAAATTTGCTGGTATTTATGATAATATAAGAAAGCCACAGTATTAAGGATTTGCCATTCATTGTAACCTATTGCTAAAAGCCATTCATGTGTCCCCACAGTAGGATTTAAGATTTAGGAATGTTTATTCAAAAAGAGAATTCCAGTTCGAATCAGTTCCCATAAAATTAATTTGTGGTAATCGTTTGAGAAGTTTTCAAGGTGAATGCAGTAAAAGATAGTCTTACTTCTGATACCTGTCCGTGATAAATCATTATTTCTCCTATGGGTATCATGCATGGTACAGTTTCATGAAACATCTATAATGATGATCTGAAAGGACATCAAAAACAACGATAATATTCTAAAAACAGGGCAAGCTTTGTGTACACCTTCATTGCTGCCCCCGGTGGAAATGCCTAGTAATGTGTCTACTCATCATTTGGGATCAGCAGACAGTTTATAAGTGAGAAAGTGGAGCCTTTGGAAAAATTTGTCAATATCATTAGTAACGACCCCATACAATTTTCAACTATCCAAATAGTAATGACTTTACATACAGTTTCTATCAAAAGAGATGGAAGAAAAGGACCTTCGAGGGATGAGACCATCTCAGGTACTTAGGAGGTGGAGAAATGTGTGTTCTCAACAGCCTCCCTTGGCCCCCAGATCCGGGCTCTCCCACTTCCACCCTGTGCTGTGCCCTGAATCCGACCGTAACAGAGTGCATCAGTGGGCACCCGCTGCTTTTGGCTTCCAGTCAGCTGCAGCCAATGGGAAACGCCAGCCAGAGATCAGCAGCAGGGGTTGGCAGGGTGGTGCTTCCCTCCCCAAGACCAGCTCTCAGTGGGTGGCCCTTTTTCTTCCGTTCCAAGTCTGCTCCTTTTTTTTGGCCATTTCAGGGATGGAAGTGGCCACTTGCTGTTGTGAGCTCTAGGGTACTTGTCCAACTCTTATTGGTTCCTCTTACCATGGCCACACCTTATAAGTTATTCCTGCAATAAGTCCTCTGCAGTCATCCCCTTTGAAATTGCCACGCAGGACCCTGAAACATATGATACGTCTCCAAGTTCACTCAGGACATTAACAAAGTGAGGACATTTTTCATCCTGATCAACTTCCCTTCTTTCTAGAGTCAATGTCTGTTGCTTTTGCTTCCCCAGAATCCGTTTAGGCTTTTCCTTGCACAGCAGCCTGATTTTCCGTTAGAGAATCACCTCTCCTCCTCTCTCAGTGCACATGGCTCGGATGAGGCTGATCTCAGCGCCAACTCAGCGCTGATCATATGATCCAAGTCAGTTTAGTTAGGCTTGGTCTTAGAACCTCTGTTGTAACTACAGAGGCAAGGAAGCCCCTGCTTCCTGAGATAGCTGACTATAAGGAGTAAGATAAGCCTGGAAATGTCAGGCCAAGGAAGAGAACATGCCTGAGTATAAGCCAGCAAAGTGGAAAAGGGCGCAGAGAGATGGATAGGCAGGCCTATCATTATTTGAGTCCCTGGGTCCCACCATGCTTGACGTTTACCTCTAGACTTATAAGAAGTGGTACATGTCCTGTTTTGCTCAAGCTGAGTTGAGCTTTCTGTCATTTGCAAGAGAGAGATCCCTAATAGGTCTTCTCCTAATGAAAACACATATATCTGGAGAGTGTGATAGACTGTGACCTCTAAAATGACCTCATTCAGATATGCAGCGTTTTTTTTTTACGAAGACTCCTGACATAGAATGTTACAGGAAGCTACCTGTGGTTTCTGTTTATTATGATTTTGGGGCTACCACCACCTGTGTTGTCCCTTTAGTTCTTTGAAATCTGTGAGAGATGGGACAATACCAGACTGAACAGCTTCACTTGGTGTTAAGCTTTGTGGGCTGAGCCCCACGCATGAACTGGTACAAACAAAGAACAATGATGGAAAACAGCCGAGCTCTGTGCTCGAGTATTATTTTCAAGTGCCATTTGACTGGGGCTTCTCAGATGACATGGTTCACTGGCAGAAAAGCTGTTATTGTGACAATCATTATTCCCATTTACCGCCTATTAGAATGGGAGTCACTGGGAAGTCAGACTGTCCTAAAAGCCCAGTGTTCCTGAGGCCTCAAGGTCAAGTTCAAGGGACAGCAATCAGGTGTAGGGACAATGGCCAAAGCTCAACCCTTTGAAATGAACAGAAGGGTTAAGACCCAGGAGATCACTGCAAAGCGAGCTTTACTATCTTCAACATATCACATGGCTTGGGAACAAAATCACAGTGACAGTGCTCACATGCCCCCAGGTCCCGTTCACAGCAGCTTTACTCTTCCCTGAGGACAGAGGCTAAGTCTGCGTTCATCACCACGTGACCCTCCCCATTCCTGCCTGACACCATGCTGACATGCAGGGTCTGCTGGCTAAAGAATACAGATAAAATGTAAGATGATGTATGAAAAGAGTCAGCATGTAATTGTTGCCCAACGAAATCCTTGCTGATGTTATTACTGCTGTTATTTGTAAATGTATCTGTATTATTAACAAGCAGGTTCAGCAAAACCCACACAAACTCTTTTAAGCAACAGTTTCAACTTCCTTACCTCCTAAGGCAGTAATAGCTCTGCTGCAAGTTTGAGTTATTTTCCCTGCCCTTCATAGGCAGATGTGAAAATCAAACTATCCATCCATTTGCTCACTCACTCATTGATTCATTTGTTCCATGAACAATTAGTGATCACCTACCATTGGTCACATATTGAAGTATATGTGGGGAAATCGAAGTTGATTAAGACACAGCCCCTGTAAAATGCAAACCTGTTGGATATGGACGAGAAATCTAAACACACTGGGGATGAGAGAGTCAGCCTATAGAATGAGGTGGCCGACCTCAGTGGTTGCTACAAGTGCTGGGGACACGCTGGGGAAATGACGATTACAGGGGAACATCTTCCTTACCTTCTCTGCGAGCCAGCCAAGATGTCTGATCTCTCGGCTCCCGGCAATGCCTGTCTTCCCCAGCTGCTCTCTGACCTCGGCAATCACTCGGGTGAGCAGGTCACTGACGTTGGAATGGATGGCACTGAACCAGGCCTGGGCGGTGGCTGAGTCCTTGCTCCTCAGGATCACCGTGTGCTTCGCATCTGGAGAGTGGATTTCAAGCTGCCTAGAGAAGCAGAGAGAGGGGGGTGTTGATTTTCTGGCCAATCACGCTTCTCCCAGTCCTGGGCCACAAAAGTTAATAATTTACTACGATTTTTAGACTTGGTCACTTTCACATGGTTTATCTTAATGGTCTCATCATTCAGTCACTCATCCATTCATCCACAAGTATTCACTAAGGGCCCAGGTATTAGTGCAGGTACTGAAAGCATAGCTGTCCAAGCACCATATCACCTGAAATAAGGATGTCTGGTTTTCCTGTTATTGAGCTGGAGGGTTGATTAGTAGTTTCATATCAAGACTTCCAAACCGTGAACTGATACTAATTTCCCTTACCTCTCAATCCACAAGAGTATTTTAATCATATACTCTCATAGGCTTTCTGCTGCTGGCAGAAAACAGATTGGAATGTCTAGCCACATACTTAATCTACTGCTGTGTTAATTGTATGTTAGGGTCAAAGATGATCAAGCTTTGCCTTCCATAAGAAACCTGCCTGTGGGTTGTGTACCTACCGCTTAGTGCTCAGACGTCTAGTGAAGAAGTGAAACAGCCTAGAAGGGGAGTAACAATGGGAAGGCGTGTGCACCAGGAATGCGACATTTAAAATGAAACTCTGAAGCTTAAACCAGAACTCCGACTGCATCGCCAGAGAGAGAGGGGGAGATCTGAACGCCGTAACTGTGGCAACAGGAGGAAATTCTAGACAGGTACTTTTCGTGTTTAATATTTTATTTTCAAGTACTTATAGATAAACATGGCATTTATCTGTAAAATAGCACAGAGGTCTAACTATGTATGCCCTTTCATGCAGTGTCTCTGGATAATGGTTATATTTTATGCAACCGTAATACAGTAACAAACCCAGGAAGCTGATCTGGGTGCGGTGTAAGCGTGTATTTCTGGACCATTTTACCGTGTGTAGCTCCTTGTAACCCCCACCACGATCAAGGAACAGAACTATTCCATCACCACTAAGTTCCCCCTCCAGCTACCAGCACTCCCCTCCCCGCCGCCCTCCCAAATCCCTGGCAACCACAAACCTGTTCTCAACGTCTATAATTTTTAGTTCAGAGAGAAAAAAAAACATCTTATTCATCCATGTGTATATATAAATAAATACCATTTATTCATTCTTGTTTGCATTAGGAAGATATAGGGATGAGGAAATTTGACACTGAGTAAAATGATCCATTTATTCATTTCCTTTCATCCCTTAATAATTAGGCTACTCTTCCTTGAACATTTACTCTATGCCAGGCAATGTTTAAATATTTTAATATTATTTTATGTAACTTCCCAAATACCCCTCTGACTGATACTACTACTACCATTTAACAGAAGGAAGAACAGAAATTTGGAGGGAGGAAATTGGTGAGGTGGTTTGATTACTGTATTACGCCGTCTCTCCTTTAGACTGGAAGAGCAGGCGCCGTCTTCTGCGGCTGTGCAAAATCCTCATCACCAGCAAACAAGACCCAAATTGTCCCATTTAGCTCCCAACTTCCAAAATAACAATTTGGCAGATCACCTGAAAATGAGAAGTCCCAAGTAACTTGGCCTCATTTCCATTTGAAACCAAACTTTTAGAGTGAGTAAATCTTTGTGCCCATAGACTCAAATTGTAGGGGAAAAAATGATGTAGGGATTGGAATGTCTCTAGGGGAGTTTTAGCAGTAATTAGCCTTTTTTTTTTGTAAAAAATTTACAAAACAAATCTCACTGAGACTCCAAAGTCTTTATGTGATGAAATGGGATTCTTTAAATGACATTTGTCCTCATCCAGGAGAAAAATGTCATTCCTCCGAGGCACTTTTCAAAGAAATGGGCCATCCATCTGGGGCGAGTCCTCCTCCCCTCCCGAAGTTACTTAGTGCAGTTGAATGGCCAAACCCAAACTGGGATTCTCAAAAAGTATTAACAAGAGTTCAATTTGCTTTTCAAATGATTCGATCAGTATCTATAGTTCCAGGAATTTGAAACAGGCAAATATTTCTTTTACAGTATTTTCTTTTGAAAACCTGGATCTGTTTGTAAAGACACAACAGCTTGGGAAGCAGCCCCTCCCCAGACATCTCTCATACTCAAACAACTGCTGTCAGCAAAAAAGAAAAAAAAGTCTTTGTTGGGCTGCCAGTGTGCCCCTGGGGAAAAGCCAGCTTGTAAACAGAGGTGCAGGTTAGGGAAGATTTCTGAAAACATTTGCCATTATTATTAAGTTTAAGTATGATTTTAAGTGTAATGTAGATAGAAACATACACAAATTGTAGTATACAGCTCAAATGTATTTTTGCAAAGGGAACAGATTCATGTAACCAGTACTCAGATCAAGAACTAGAATATTACAAGCACCCCCAGAGTCCCCTTCACATCCCCTTTCCAGTTAATTATATTTCAACATAATCACTATTAGAATCTGTCACCATGGATCACTTCTGTGTCAGGCAAGATGCATGAGATTTTGTTTGCTTGTTTTCATTTGTTGTCATTGCCTGCAGCATGGTGAGGACCTTGGACAATTTCTGAGGCCAAGTTTGAGTACCAGGCCCAGTGCTTTTTAGGGGTGCTTCTCAGTGTGGTCCCAGACCAGATGCGGCGGCAAGGCATCACCTGGGAACTTAATAGAAATGCCGATTCTTGGTTCCCACCCTGAACCCACTGAATGAGGAAATCTAGGGGTGAGGACCAGCCATAGACCTCCAGGTGCATCTGTTGCAGGTTAGAGAAAGCTTGCTCTGCTAGTTCATGAGTACAAGGCTGAGCTAGGCTGTCTGCCAGGTTCCCAGTGGCTGAGGGGCCTAGGCTGACCCCCCCACAGGTGAACTGACCAACCTGCATTCGGTCTCCGAAGAAGAACACTGAGGACACAGAACAGAGAGACCTGTGGCTTTTTATGGTAAAAAAAAAGCATGAGTTTATATTCAAACATATTCTTTAGAAACCCTTGAATAGTGTTTTTTATAGAACATTTAATTAAATACAGATGCTTGATTCCATCCCAGACCCGCTGAGTAAGAATTTTTAGAGAGTGAGGCCCATATGTATACATTAAATGTTCCACCAATTATATAGATTAAGGGCCACAGCGACCCCTCTGAGTCCAAGTTCTAACCCTGTACAGATATCTGCATACAGGTGATCGTCACCAGAAGGGCCACATAACAGGGGCCTTGGAGAGTGCATTCGTAATGCACTGCTGAGTAACAAATGTCCCCAGAATTAAGTGGCTTAAAACTGCACATGTTTGTTATCTCAGATGAGTCTCTGTGTCACGAACTTCCGGGTGGCTGAGCTGGGGGGTCTGGCTCGGGGGCTCTCTGTTCATCTGCAGGCAGGTCATCAACATGCTGCTCAGCTGAGGATCCACTTCCCAGGTGGGGTCACGTGGCTGTCAGTAGGAGGTCTCAGTCCTTGTCACACAGGCTTCTCTAGTGGCTGCTCGAGCCCGTTCATGACGGATGTGACAGCTGTTTTCCCCAGAGAGCAAGAAGGACCCACTGTTCCCTTTTTGACCCGGTCTCCAAAGTCACACACCACCACTTCTAGTTCATTGTTTTAGTTTTAAGTGAGTCACCAAGTCCAATGCACGCTTACAAGGAGGAGAGTTAGGCTTCGCTTCTTGAAAGAAAGGGAATCAAAGAAGTTGGGGACATATCTTTTTTTAAACCTATGTATATATATATTTTAATATTAATTTTAGAGAGGAAGGGAGGGAGAAAGAGAAGGAGAGAAACAAACACCGATGTCAGAGAGAAACCTCGATCAGTTGCCTCCTGCATGCATGCCAACCGGGGACCGAACCTGCAACCCAGGCATGTGCCCTGATTGGGAATCACACCGATGACCTTTCACTTTACAGGATGGTGCCCAGCCAACCAAACTGCCACACCAGTCAGGGCTGAAGATTTAGCTTAGAACCATCCTAGAGAGGCTTTAAATGAAGTTCCATTCTGGAAAGAGTTTGTGCCAAATGTAAAGGGGGAGCGTAGCGTTCAGGACTGTTAACTAGAGGCCTATAAAAAGTCTAGATTCAGGTGAAGATGATTCTTTCTTTCTGAACCACAGCGCTCAGTTATAAAACGAGACAGACTGTGGACCCAGACACAGGGGTCAATGACGACAGGAGGGATGAGAAGGACATGTCATTGACAGCATATGGGAGCAGCATGAAGCCATCAAAAATAAGGATGGGTTAAGAACTGCTGGCTGGTCTGGCACAGAGAATATATCTTTATTTTGTGCAAGGAATAAATTAAGAACTCGGCAGTCTACATTCACTTTATCCTCACCCCTAAAAAAACCCAAGGGGAAGAAGTAAGAGGAACATAAACTTTTCCTTTTAACACCAATGAGCTCTACTATCTAAAGCAAACAGTAAGTACCGGGTAGCAGCAACGTCCCCAGAACTTCTGAGTGACAACTGAAGTTTCTAGACAAGGTCAAGTGGTAATTTTATGTATATAATCTTAGCATATTACCAAGCAAAAATCTGAAATGCAGACACTTTAGCCTAATGTGTCATTTAAACCAGTGCAATACACTCTTTAGGGCATGAAGGCAGACACAGAGAAAGGAACTCCGTGCCCAGCCTGGCTGTGCAGTGGTTCCTCCAGCAGGAGGAACCTCCAGCCTTGCCAATTAAAAGCCCATGTGCCAGGAGGTAGTTTTTAAGCACAGGAATTTGGGGATTCAGTCTGACTCTAAACCTTGTTGTCTATGAAGCCACAGGAAAGCTATTTAATCTCGCTAAGCCTCAATTTCTTTATCTGTAAAATGGTGTAATACACTTGCCTCTCAAAATTATCGGAAAGACTAAATGAGATAATATGTGCACGAGATGTTACAGGGCCAAGCTGACCTTGATTGATTCTGGTTTCCATTCTAGTTTACAAGGAATAGTCTTCCTAAACGTGTACAGTAAAATGGTAGTGGGCCAACAAGGTGGGGAGAGTACACTGGGGTGGGCTCTGGTTCAAATGTTTTTCAGAGTACGTGGACTTGGGG